ACTGTTTTTCTGCATATAAAATTCAGGGCCCGCTTTAGGGGGTAGCAAGCAGGGTAATTGCCCAGGGCCCCACACCTTGCCCTTTCCTACTTCATTCAGTCCTACCTAGCTTCAATCTCTCTTTGCCTGACCTGTCACTCCCCTCTCCCACTCAACCCCACCACCTCTTTCTGGACATCCAATCCCTTTCTTAAAACTGTAGGAGTCTAGAACACCTGATAGCAGAGGGGCTCCTTGGCCTATGAAAGTATATGCTGCTGCTACTACTTCTAGTTGACGGGAGGTGTGGCCTTCTACAGTCTGCCACTGAGGGGAGCATTGCTGGGATTCTAGACACCACTAAGCACATTGGGAGGCGAGCAATTTAAGGCCTGACAATGCCTGGCCCTAAAAGAGGATTGCATGTATTTTCTACTTTCATTAGTCAGAATTCCAACCTCTGAGATAGCTAATGTATACAAAAGCATGCTAATAATAGTTCTACTTGGGTATAATATGCTGTCACCCAGACCTTTTACTCTTTGAGTTTAGCTTTTCATTATCTTTTTTGCACTATTATGACACTTGAATTCATCTATTCAATTAATGTTGTTATGCTGCAAAAACCCAGTGAATTAGAGATTAAAATAATCTAACTTGAGGTTCATATGAAATATTGCCTAATAGTTGCTCTAAATCAGGGAATTTGCCTTGGAACATTTTATATATTTTTGGTAGCAAAAGCATCGATCTGCCTTTTTCCTACTTTTATCGATGCTAACCCTTACCATATCGGTCTGAAACAAATTATTCAGCAAGTTAGACTTTATGTTTACAACAGAAAGCTTCATTTGCATAGCCCTTCTTGTACACCACACGGTAACATCAATATTGGTTCAAATGTACAGGCTAAAATAAAACTTCAAAATAATGTTCATGGAAAAACTGCAACCAAGAGAACAGCCTTTCTGTAGATGGTTTTGCTACCCATGATTCACTTCTTGTTGTGCTTCAAACAAGGTGATCCAAATACTTTACACAAACACTTTTACAGTGACCTGTGCGATCTCAAATAAAATACTCAGGAACTATTCAAAGGCCATTTCAGCAACTGTCCAAAAGTAACAAATGTGGAGCACATGTGCCCTCTAGTGGACTACTGTCCTATGTATATTATAAATAGGGCCCTACCAAATTCAAAGTCCATTTTGGTCAATTTCATTATTTCAGCTATTTAAATCTGAAATGTCATGGTGTTATAATTGTAGGGCTCTGACCCAAAAAGTACTTGGGGGGAGGGGGTCACAAGGTTATTGTAGAGGGGATTGTGATATTGCTACCCTTACTTCTGCGCTGCTGCTGGTGGGGCGCTGCCTTTAGAGCTGGGCACCCAGCCAACAGCCACCGCTCTCTGGCTGCCCAGCTCCGAAGTCAGTGCAGAAGTAAAGGCTGCAATACTGCGACCTCCCTAAAATAACCTTGTAACCCCCCTGCAACTCCCTTTTGGGTCAGGACCCCCAATTTGAGAACCACCGGTCTCCCTGTGATATCTGTATAGTATAGGGTAAAAGCACACAAAAAGACGAGATTTCACAGGGGAAGGCCAGATTTCACGGTCCGTGATGTGTTTTTCATGGCCATGAATTTGGTAGGACACTAATTATAACACCTAGGGTGATCTATTAAATTTAAAGTGTCAAAAGAGATCTGACAGTTGTCTGTGCAAAAAGATAAAATTAGGTGCAGGAGAAGTCTGTCCAAAGAGATAATGCACTTGGTAGGCTCAGTAGTCCACTAATCCCACACTCTCATGTAATAGCTATTAACAGATTCAAGCAAGACAATGAAGAAACTAAAAGCACCTACCTGTGAAGATAAAGTCAGAAGACAGGCACCTCTCCTGTGCTTCGCAGAGCCGGTTGAATCCCTATCTGAGGCAGGGCAGAACAAGAATGTCTTAGGGACCGTCAAACAGACTGCATCCTGTAAAAGGTGAATGCTCCATTGCTGTGGTCTTAGCAGGGCAACATTAGAACTGTTCTATCCCCATATTTCAGGTCTTGACACTGGTGCTCCAATGAAATCTTCACCTTCATTACTGAACTCCTCTCCTAGAAATCAGATTATGGATGTTTCAAGGACTGATGGGCAGTCTGGGCTAGGCTCCCCTAACTGATCATCATACTAGAGCATTCACTTACTAGGTCACATGCGAGTGTTTCCGGGAAAGCTCTGGTGAGTACAGTAGTGCACTATATAGTCACAGCAGTGCTCTAGAGAGAAAAGTTAGTTCATTGCCACCAGTTTTTGTTGCTGACTTCCTCCAGCAGAAGCAATGCAGAACCATTTGGGAATTCTAAGGTCCGCCCTCACAGCCTGAAGAAACCAAGTTATTTGTGGTCTCAAATCTGCCAAAAGCTGCAATAGCTTATGGTACAGTGAGTCACAGTGGTGAAATAACAGCAAGCTGAAATATTGTTAATATTTAAAGTGGAAGATTAGACATGGACCTGCAGTTCCTTTGTTCTAATCCTAGTTCACCCAATGAGTTGTATAGCCTTGGGCAAGTTATATAACCCCTGTCCATCTTCCCAATCTGCAAGTTGAGGACAAGGCACAGTGCCCAGGCAGTGAGGATATATGGATGGTTAAGTGCTAAATTATCTATAGCCAAACTTGCTGGAGAATTGGGATAAAAAGCATTGGAACTGTATTTCTAAATTGTTAGGAAGTAATATTGATAGGTATACACTTGAGGGAGAAAGTTCTGTGTGGGGCATTATTCCTAGCAAGAAGACAACCTATGTGCCCTCTCCAAACTATAAGAAAGTACCTGGGCTCCTGCCTCTGCCTCAAGCCAAAGAGGAACAGAACTGGACAACTGGGTTAGAGGTGCCCACGTGTCTGATGTTTTGACAGTTGAGATGACACACCCTTTTCTTAACTGAATCACACTTTCACGCAACTGAAAATGGTGACAGCGAAGAACAAAATAGACGTATTTTTGCAATTAAACATGATTACAAAAAAAAGACCAATGCAGTTTTGGGCTGTTTACAGGGAAAGACCCTGTCACAGGACAGGAAACTAATCATCCTCCACCAGGCCCTGACGCAACCATGTCTGAATCCTGGCATCATTGTATACTCTTGTAGGCACCGCATTACCAGAGAGCATGTCTTCAAAAAAAGAAAGAACTAAATATGTATAACTTGACTAAGGGGAAGGACAGAGCCCTACAATTAAAGGATGGAAATAACAATGGGGAGGCATTTTTAGTGTGGCACAGCAGTGTATGTGTAGGAGTGATGGGATGAAAGTAAAAGATTCCCCCCCACCCCCAATATTCAGCCTTATCAGAGCAATGTATTAGGCTATGGAACAGTCTCCTCCCAAAAGCAATGGAAGTGCAATTTCATGATGCTTAAAACAAGACTGAAATAAAGCTTTAGAAAATGTGCTGTATGAATCTTGCATTGGCTTCTAGGAGAGGGATTGGATGATTCCCATCTAGCTTCTATAATCTAATAGTTCTTAACTTGGCTATTCTGTGCATGTGAAATGGTTTGGAGCAGATTTTATTTACACAACATTTGTATACTTTCATTAATCATACGTGTGAAGGTGAGAAGGTTTTTCTGGTTTCATTTTCAGGTTCATGGGTGCCTGCCCTTTTCCAAAGGCCCAAAGGTGATCTCAAACTCTCCTGACTGCAAGAAAGCACATTTTTTAATAATAAGCGTTTGCCTCTGTCCTACACGTAGCAGCTATGAGACGAGTGCATGTATATCACATCTGTTAAAAAGTTTCCTTGATGAAGTTTATCTCTGATACAAGCACCTTTCCAGTTTCAAAGCAGTCTCAAACTTAAAGGAATAGGGAACACTGGGTATTTCAGCACTTAAACATTTAACTTGTTCTCGCAACAACAGCCTGAAAGACCTCCACAGATGAAATGCTAGATAGGGGTTGACAAATTCAAGGAGACTTGTTCTTGTCAGTAACTGTCATCACCATATTCAACATTTTGATTTCAGAACGAGGAAAGAACACAGATCAAGTATTATTCAGTCCCATTACAGATAAAGAAGTGAACCTTGGGAGCTTTAATAGGCAAAACTTTTCCAAATTAGTTTACTAAAATTAACCATTTACAACCATATTTCAGCATCTAAATACCTGGCCTGACCTTCAGAGGTGCTCGAACACGCGTGGCAGGCTTTCAGTGACTTCAACGAGAGCTGCAGGTGGTCAGCACCTCTAACAACAAGGACACTCATTTAGTTACCAAAATATGGATGTAAGAGGTTACACACCTAAGTTTGAATATTTTGCTTGAGCTTTTTGCTCTCGTTTCTTGTTTTTCCAAGGACTCAAAGATGCTTATAGCCTGCCTAAAAACAGATTTGAACAAGATTTGAAGGATAAAAATGAATACACATACACAGCTGCTTACTAAAATGCACTAATTAATGTAATGAATCCCAGGAAGCTAGCCAGCACCAGTCAGTGGATACCCCTTTCCTAGTGCCAATCAACAGCTATTGCCTAGCATTATCCCCACTGGTAACCAGCTGGCAGGTTATCATTTCCTTGGTAGGCAGTGGCCATTTTCTGGCAAAGACTGCTCTCAGAGGCTTGAACTTGCACCACTAAAGTCAATGGCAGGCCACCAAATCCTGGTTGGTAGGCACTCTCCCAGACTGCCAGGTATCCAAGACAGGCCCTATGTCTCTATCAACCCAACCTGTAATACTTATGAACAGACAGAAACAGCTATAGCAACTTACAAATATTTGAATGTTTGCAATGAATATGATGGGTGGCATACAGCTCCAGAGCTGGCTCCCTGAATGTTTATATCGGCAGATTCAACTCACAGCAACGTCCTGCACTCACTTCTGTTGTTGTTTCACTCCCATATAAACACCTTCTGCCAAAGCCTTTGACGCATTTTTGTTTCCTGGTGGCTTCTGCGAACTGGTTTTGCTTCAATCTCATGATTTTTTTTTTTTAAGTGCAACAGGAAAAAATAAATGTTGCATGAACTCTCTGTCAGTAGCTACTGACATTTCAGATGCTTCAGAGCCAGTCTTGTTTGGCTGCAGAACGTAGCGCATGAGTTATTTAGATTTCCTCTTATGACCAGAGAGACTCACCCGTGGAGCAGTATATGTCTGCATCTACCTCTCTTCCTGACTTGTTTCACTCACGGTGTCACTCTCCCTCCCCTGCCTGATTTCTAATCAGAGAGAAAACAGATGGATCGATAACCTGAAGGCTAGAGGCTCCTTAGAGGCTTCTTAGTGGAAGCAGAGTTTAAAGCAGGTGTGGTTTTCCCAATTAGGTGAAATTATTCTGAAGTGTTTTGGCTTTAGTGATCACATAATGGCCTCTGTGCTGCTCCATCCTACTTGTTTTGTACAGTTCTGTATTATAGCCAATATGCCTTTTGATAAAGCTCTTCGAAGCCAGGAAACTGGCATTTGATTGTCACATTGCATCTTCTGCAGAGCATGGTGTACACACATAAAAAATGGGATTTTTTTTTTATTACTGAATCTCACCAGACCAATGGAAGCCTCTCCCTGGGACACTGGTGCAGACTCTTAATTAGGAATGCTCCTCTGAGAAATCAACAACAGTTGCAGGGAAACCCTTGGCAAGTGCAGACTATTAAATAGCTCTCACCTAAGAGACACTGAAAAGGGCAGGCGGGAGCTCTATTTTAGACTGGAGCCTAACTACATCCACTGGCCATCACTTTGTGGATTATGGTAAGTGGTACTTCCTGCCTGCTCTCTAGTCCAGATTCTTCTGTGTTTAGAAGTCAGGAACTTGATTAAGCAAAGCTCCTGTGGCAGAGAGCAGGACACTGAAATCTATGGATGGAAAGTGCTGTATGAGAGCTAGGTGGTATTATTACCACCAGTATAGAAGGGCAGGCCTTGGCTTTAATGGAATTTACCATTTTTTAAATTAAATTTTGAAAAGGATGAACAAAAGCCAAATAAATAAGCAGCATCACTTGCTGTACTCAGTGTCGGGCACCAAAAGTGCTCAACCAAACCACATATTGAGTCAAATACTCTTCCAAATCCTTATGTAACAGCTTATCTTCAATAAGCTTCCAAGATGTTCTAAAGGTCTGTGTGGACAAGAGAATTAAAATATTAAGTAATTATCTGGCCCCCATTACCATCGTTTCTGAGCAGCTCATCATCTTTAATGTATTTATCCTCACAACACCCCTGTGAGGTAGGGCAGTGCTATTATCCCCATTATACAGATGGGGAATGGAGCGAAAGAGAAGCTGAGTAACATGCCCATGGTCAGACTGTGGCAGAGTACAGAACTGAACCCAGGTGTCCCAGGATAGTGTCCTAAACACTGGACCAGCCTTCCTCTCCTTTAAAATAGACACCAAGTATCCGGCACTCTGCTATTCAACACTCCCAGTTCATTTTCAGACCAGTGAGATATGTTCAGGCAAAATCCCAGTTTTAGGAAACAAGCCCTGTTTGAGAGCAACTCCAGAATCAGACCGGAATTAGTGTAAGTGTAGACAATACAAAATGCTGTGGGATCTCTCAGGAACTGGACACATTCAACATGAGAACATAAAAACAAGCATGTTAACCTTCCATGACGGGACATCAGAGCATGCAGGAACAGATAGATCACAACTGTCTAATCCCAGACTGGTGCAGCCAGCTCTGGATAAACTTGGACAAGAATGGACATAATAGTTCCCAGCAAGCTGCTATACATTTCAGAATCCAACCCAATGAACATATTCACAGCAGAAGTGTTATTAGCAGGACGAAACGGGTACAAGAATTCTGTAAACAGGTTCTAGAAGACACATTGCTGTTTGTCAAGACCACATTTCCTCCTTCCACCGCCACAGAATTTACCTCAAAATCTACCCCTTGCTGCAAAATTGTGAGCCACAACCCAAGCGTACACTTAAAAAGAATGTCTCAAGCTCTGAGGGTGGTGTCCAAAACTTTCCAAATGTGAACCAAATGCAAATCAATGCAAGGTTATCTGCCTGAGTTTGCGGACAGCCTGAAGCAAAAGCTTAGGCGTGAACTGTCCCTCAATTCATTTCAATGGGGTATTAACCTTATATGTTAATGATGCAAATTTCAGTGTCAACATTAATATATCTCACAGATGATCCTCATTTTTGCATCCAGTTAGTGTGCTTATCTCACAAACCCAAGCTTCCTCCCGCACCTTCCTAAATGCCTATGCAGCCGCAAAATCCTCCAGCTTCCCCCTGCCAGCTCAAAAAGATTAGCTAGGCATTTTAAACCAAAACCAAAAACCCCACCACACATTCTGCATCATACAGAGCATGAAATGTAAGGCCAGCATAAAATAAATGGCATTTAATATTCAAAAGCTAAGGGAAACCTGCCATAAGTGTATTCATTTTTGTACCTAGTTAAATATGAATCTCCATTTTTACACTTATCTGAAGCGGACACCGGCGCTCCAGTCTGCTGCACTGGACAGTGCAGGAACCTTGCCACATGATTTATATCAAGCTTCCCGTAGAGCACACAAAGCCGTGATTACCATAATCCAAACATTCAAAGGACTGCATACAAACAAGCAAAACACAGGCATTAGAAAGCTCTATTGATCATCAAGATAATAGTAAACCCCAAGTCATCAGTGCTGCTCTCTCCTGAGTTCAGATTCTGATTCCACTCCTCCCCGCCACATCTCGCTCAAGAGCTTGTCAGCATCCCAGAACAGATACAGCTAGGCTTGCTGTATTGGATAGGTTATCATGGTAAAGCTTCGTTGGGATAAATTAGCTTGTGTTTGGGAAATGCCTCTCTCTTGGCTTACCATAGGTGGGTGAGGTAATATCTTTTATTGGGACAACACCTGGTGGTGAGTGACACAAGCTTCGAGCCACACAGCTCACGCTTGTGCAGCAGAACTTGCATCAGGACTGAAACTAGCTTGTTGCCATTATGGAGTAAGTCAGATTTAACTGTGTCAGTTGTCGGATACATAGGAAATGAGAGTACTTCCTTGGTCACTTTTTGATTCATAGCTTCCTCATCACAATCCCTCAAATGCCTTTTCAATGCGTGAAAGGGGCTCTTTGGCAGTATTAAAGTACAAAGTCACAGGCATCCAGTTCTCAAAGAATACATGGCCATTGGCAGATCCACAGAGTTTGCACATTGTCCATCTTGGTTTTGGTCTTTTCTAGGAAAGTTTTGTGGTGTTCAAACTCATTTCAGGTGGCTCAAGGCAACTCTGGGCACCTCTCCATGCAATCAGGAGCCAGACAAGTACAGTATAAAGAAATTGCCAGTCACACACTTATTTCAGTCTCCTTTCCACATTGTCTGCGATATCTGACATTATCCTCTCAGGTAGAAAAGAGACTAAATGGGATAAAATACTGGAGAGAAGGGGCAAGAAAGATGCCCAGACCAATGCTCACCTTCATTTCCAATATATAATCCTGAATCTTTGATCGGAGGGCTGTCTTAAATCTTGTATTGTGCTTCAAAAGGCTTAACTAAGATAGATTCAGTTCATCTCACAGCCCATGTCCTAGACTTCACATGATAACAAAAGCCTCATACTTGTGTATCAACAGCTCAAAAATTAATTGTAATCTTAATGCATTCACTAGTCGATAAAGCAGGAACTTAATTCAACCACAGAGCTGCCGGCACATCCCTTACAATCACACTGTTGCTCCAATCTAAATACTTGTGGGTTATTGGGGATTTAGATACAAACTCCAGCGGAGGGTCACTTGCATAGATGTTTGGCAGCTTCCTTCCAAAGAAAGGTAGGAAGGAACATTCCTTGGCTTGGGTGTACTCTGCACTCCATCTCCATGGCTTGGGTGTACTCTGCACTTCTCCTAGCTGCTTAGAAACTCTATTAAATTTGCTACAAATAAAGAGAAACAGACAGCAATAAGGATAAGAAACTGAGTGTGGAAACACCTCTCCCACCAACCCAGGATTCAAACAAACAGTGAATTTGTTCCCATACATAATAGGCATTGTTTCACCTCACTCACATGCTCCCAGCTTTCAGTATCAGACTGGCTAATTCTGGTTTCACCTGAGTTCATATTTAGTTATATACCAACATGCAATATTAGCATAACTAGAAAGAGGTCTTGGGTCAGATTCTCAGTTACAATACAGCCAAGTAACGGAGCATTAAAATGAGCGTAACTGTAACTTATGTCCACTTTAAGGCTCCTTTATACAGCCATGGTTGTGTAAGTGGGCTTCAGCGAAAATGAGAATCCAGTCTTCAATCTCTGATGGGAGGAACTATCATTGATCACCTACCAATGAACATGTAAAAGATGCATTCTACACTAAGTTGCAAAAGGTACTCAACTAGGTCCATGCTTATGTTGTCATTCTGGTTATGGATGATACCAATGCCCAAGTGGGTAATGACAACTTGGGATACAAGTATTGCATGTGCAAATACGTCACTGAGGGGCAGATGGACAACGGTGAAAGATTTACTTAGCTGTGTAATATGTATAACCTGTGCACCTGGGGTTCACTTTTCCCTCATCGCAGGAAACACAAACTAACATGGAAGTCAAATGAATGAATTACTGAGAAGCAACTGAAACACACTGCTGCTGGATACACTAAACAAGCGCTGATATAGGAAGCAACTACTATCTTGTCACCGGAACAGAATAAAGCTAAAAAGACACGCTAATAAGAAAAGAAATGGAATTTGATGCGAAGAAACTGTCTGATCTGGAACAGAGGGTCCTGTGGCACCTTTAAGACTAACAGAAGTATTGGGAGCATAAGCATCTGAAGAAGTGAGGTTCTTACCCACGAAAGCTTATGCTCCCAATACTTCTGTTAGTCTTAAAGGTGCCACAGGACTCTCAGTTGCTTTTTACAGATTCAGACTAACACGGCTACCCCTCTGATACCTGTCTGATCTGGGAATCAGGAGAGACTTTAAAATCCAGCTCTCCAACAGATTCCAACAATGGTGAGTAATGAATGATGATAAAGAGGAACAATGGCCTTGCTTCAGAGATGTATGCTGGGAAACTGCCATAACTTCACTTGGACCAAGAGGATCAATCGAGGAAAGAAGAGCAGATACAGCCACTCACTTGAAAATAGACTGAAAAAAGTAAAGGCTTAAAAAAAAAAAAAAAAAAAAAGAAGAGGACAAGGACAGAGGACATGACAAAAAGAACACATGCGGAATGGGGATCTGTAGAGAAAGATAAAGAAGTAAAGAAAATTGTATTGGAAAGGTAAGAGAATGGCTTGACAAAAAAAAGCGAGAGAAGCATCTGTGAGAGGCCACTTAGAAACCATTCCAGGTGTGCAAGCAGTGATCATCCTGGTTCCAGAGTCACAATGGTTCATAAGAGCCAAAGATGGAAGATTGTTAACAACGGAAGCAAAACAAATGGAATGATGGCGAGATCATTTGAATGAAATACTCAACCAACCCCAGCCAATCACTCCAATCAATGCATGTGTAGAAGAAAGTGAAGAATTAAATCTCTCTCTGCTAGAAATTTCAGAAGCAGAAATAGAGGAAGCAATGAAGCAGCTTAAAAACGGCAAAACTCCTGGTCAAGATAAGATCACTGCTGACATGCTTCAAGTGGGGAGGAAGTGGTACTACATGAAATACATAAACTTTTAAAAATAATTTAGGAGAAGGAATTCTGCCCAGAGAAGTGGAAGAAAGATGTGATCTGTAAATTACCAAAGCAGGAAACCAACAACTGGTGAGGAATAATACCGCTTTAAGTACACAGAAGAGTGTTGTCTAGTGTACTACTGAATGGAATCAAACTGGTCACAGATGAAAAACGGCATGCTAAGCACGCAGGCTTTAGACCAAAAAGACCACAAAGGCTTTAGACCACATCTTTACTTTGAGATGAAGGATTAAGAAAGGGCTTGCTTACCAGAGAAGATTAGTCTTAAACATATTCAATTTCACCAAACCTTTCACTGCCTTCAGAGTCACTGTGGAAGATCTTGTGACAATATGAGCCTCCTAGATAGTATGACCGGCTAAGATGCTGTATATGAAGGTTCAGGAAGGACAGGAGGTGAAGAGACGAACTGGTTTGATACCACCACTGGGGTGTGACAGAGATACATCTTATCGCCTGTCCTCTTCTGCATTTGATAGATTACGCAATGTGAAAAGCAAAAAAGGAAGACATAATATAGGAATTATATGGAATAGAGGAAAATTTGCAACAGCTCAACTTTCCATATGACATTGTTCTGCTGGACACACATGAAGGGGCTATGAAAAAGACTACTACCAATGTCAAACGTGAGGCTGCCAAAGCAGAATTAAGAATCAGCCAAAAGAAAACGGAAGTCATTACCACTGAAAGAGGAGTCAGCAATGAGGATGCATAAGTGAGTGATGGATAGTGAAGAATATGGCATCATTAATGAGTCTTTACATCTTGGAAGCACAACTAGTACTGATGGTCTATTCCATAAGGAGTTGGAAGCAAGAACTAGAAACGCAAATGAAGCTTTTCGAGGCTGGCAAACATCTGGGGAAAAAAAGGAGATTCCCACAAGAACCAATAGAAAGCTATGCAATGCCATTGTGATACCCACATTGTTATATGCTTCTAAAACTTGGCAGATGCTAGAAACTCATAACAGAAAACTTAATGCATAGCAGCAGAAATGCCCGCAAAGAATTTTTGGAATCCGCTAGGGGGATAAACTAACCAACACGGATGTGTTACAAAGGACTGACCAGCAGACTGTAGAGACAATGATTTGAGAAAGAAGGCTGAAGCGGTTTGGACATGTATGGATGTCAAAAAACCGTATTCCTAGCCAACCCTTGATTGGATACCACTTGGTGGAAGACAGAAAAGAGATGGACAACAAATGACATAAGAAAATCATGCAGAAAGATGCCACTGTCATGGAGCCAGACTATAATGGAGCAAGAAACATGCCATTAGACAGATGGAGGTGGAAAGACTGGATTGTCTCAGTGTCACAAGGCATGAGAGCATCTAATAAAATAATAGATGCCATACATACAGATAACTTTAAAATGAAAGTGACCATGTCATAGCTGCAGCCCTCTTTTCTTGACCACATGAAATTATATTGGACCAAATGGCTACTTGTGGATATTAAATGTTAAGTTTATACTCTAAATTAAAGTCAAAGATCATAAAATTGTGACGACTGATCCTTCATTATGTCTAGGCAGGGCCAGCTCCAGGCACCAGCTTAGCAAGCAGTTGCTTAGGGCGGCCAAGGGGAAGTGGCGGCACGTCCGGTTCTTCGGCAGCAGGTCCCTTGGACCCTCTCGGAGTGAAGGACCTGCCGCCGAATTGCCACCGAAGAAGAAAGCAGCGCGGCTGAGCTGCCGCCGATCGCAGCTTGGAGCGGCAAAAACCTTGGGGCTGGCCCTGTGTCTAGGTAGGAGGCAGAGGACAAATTCAGAATCAGTAGATAGTCTAACCAGAAGAGAGATGTTGGTGGAACAACTTCAACATGAGGTCAGCGTATGATTGAAGATGTGAGAGTAGGGAAACTTCGTACTAATAATCAGTATAGAAAGGGAAAGGAAAGGGAATACAACCAGTACAAAGCAGATTTGGAGGAATTCAGAAATCCATTAACTAAGGTGTGATGAGAGGAAGTATTAAAATTCACAGTGCAGAAAAAGGCTGGGAAATCTTAAGGCACCAAATTAAGGTACAGAAGCTACAATTCGTCCAACCCCCTTCAAAAAAATGCAGGGAAACAAGCAGCGTCCAATGTGGTTTCATGAAGAGCGTCTCAAAAACTAAGTTTTAAAAAAGTAGACCAACATCATTCCCTCTCAACTGAGAGGCAAATCCATGATCTACGCATTACCTTATCCTGACATTACTTCTAACCGGGTGTTGGGGTAGCTGACGTCCCTGGGGCAATGAGTCAACAGAGCTTTTATTGTAACTGATGATAGTGATATGTTACTTGACACTTCAAAATGATATTTTTAATCCAGTAACATTCACTCACCTTTTTTAGTAATCCCATCCGTGCTGAGATTAGCAACATGTCATCAGTCTGCGGTCAGAGGAGCCATTTTATCAATCTTCATAGCATCCAGTACAGCTCACGAGCATGGGGGGGGGCGGGGGAGGGGAATCTACAATCCATCAGTCAGTAACTGGCTATTTACTCTATAATAAAGTAACCAATATTTAACTTGTCACTGAGGCATATTAGCATAACTCTGGAGAGCAAAACCAACATAGAAGCCCATCAGATTGCAGCAACTTCTGAGGCTATTTAAAAATACTTTGCAATAGCCCTTTCCCTCCTACACACCACTGAGAAGGTGCTGCGTGTGTCACTGCTTTGCCATTCTCTTGCCAGGAGAATAAGTGAGGCAAAATGATCAGTCATACAACACCCACACATCTGCTGAGATTTTTGAAATCGTTTGTCTATTTGGTTCTTTTAATAAAAATTATTAAATAAATAGAGGAGATCATTTAATGAGATCATTTAAAGTCTCTGAGAAACCCTGCATGGCTAGCGGGACTAGGAAGGAGGGAAAGGACCATGGGCTACACTGCCAATCCCTAATGAAGCGCCTGACTGGCAACACTACAAACCAGTTGGTGAGGGTATCTATGTAACTAAAACATGGTTTGAGATGGAAACAAATGACCAACCTGTCACCATTCTCCAGTGCAGCTAGGAGAAAGCAAGGATGGCCTGCGTACGACTTAAAAACATCCATGTGGATGAGATCCGTTAACAAAACGAAAGAATTTGGAACTTGGACTGATTTTTAGTTGCAAAAATATAGAAATATTTTCATGTCCGGAGCTCAGAAAATATTGTAGTTCCAACAGAAAAAAAGAATCAAGACCAAGACAGATCATTCCCAGTATTGAACAGGGGTTTGAAGCAAGGCAAGCTAAATACATTCTGTTGTGTTCAACTTTTCAAATAACATAGCCTTTAAAAAAAAATGAATGAGCACAGAGGTGATCTGAAACCACTATGCACTGCCACACACACAATTTTTGTGTTACCGTTAAATATGATGTGTGGGAGACTACTCGTGTTTTTATTTGCTATGTCACCCACATCCAAGTGATTCCAGTTTCCTTAATATCCATAGATTTCGTTTTCCACCCAGGCCGACTCCTTGCTTTGTCCCATCCGATCATTGCACAGCTCATAGATCTCATTGGTCACAAAGCCACTTTCAGTACTAGCCAATGTCACAAAACCGCTCTCTGTAGCATTCACAGCCACGTTGTCGTAATCTCCGGAGAAGTTGTCAGACGTGTGGTCTCCGGAAGGGGTGCGGAAGGAAGAATTCTTAGTATCTGGCCTGGTCCCAGCAAGATCTGCCTCCATTTGTTTTTTAATTACATTGTAAATCTCCAAATTGGGACTGTTCTTCCTGTGGGGGGAGATCCAGGCATCTTGTTCCTTTGGACTCGCCTCCATGTGCTCTCGTTTCCTTAAGTGAGAAAGAGGAGACACTGAATTTCTTGTCTGTTCTTTTTCATAAGCACAGTCCGACATTGCATCTCTCTAACAAGAGGTCTAATGACAGCATTTCTGGAAAACGGCCATTAATAGCCTAGATTCAGAACTATGTACTTTATTATTAGTTGTAGTTGGACACGTGAATGCAACAACATTACTGGCATTGTCATGCCATCCCATTTCACTATTGTACTACGCTTGTGCGATATACTAATCCGGACTTCAAATTCAGGGAGCAACAGAGAACCAGATCTCTGAGGAATCAGCTTCCAGCCCTCACAAAATGGTATCCTATTCTGGATCCACACCTGTCCTACCAACAGGCAGGGGGACTGCTGCCCATATTAACCCATCTGGTGCCCATAGGTATTACAGCAACTGGGTGCTGGCCAGGGTGCTGAAGTGTTTGTGCTGTAATTATTCATCCTCTCATTCCTCCAGAACAAACAAACAAACAAAAAATGTAGGAAGTCTCTAGTGGTCTGATCTGGCAATGGGCCTGAATGCCACATACTCCTCCTCCAGAGTGTTTAAACGATCTCAGACTTGTATAACAGCAGCTTCATTCATGTTTATAGAGCCATTTAAGAGCCATGAATAATAGGAGCTATACAAACTACTGCTCCCTCCTCTGTCTCCCTTTCCCGCTCCCGACTTTGCTCCTTCTATCATGCCACCCTTACACTTGGAACAATCTCCCAGTTAGTGTTTGGCAAGCACTCTCCTCCTCCTCCTCCCTTCTGCTTTTGCTCCAAAGCCAATATCTTTTCACTGTGTCAAGTGACAAATATTTGAAACAGGGTCTTTTGGGGTGAATTGACTTTATTGCTGGTGAGTTCCAGCTGCACCATCGGCAGTGTTACTGCACGTTTTGCCCACACTTGCATCTTGACAACTTCCATCTACCCTGACTTGCAAGGATCATCTCTGGGGCTAAAAAGGAAGTTTGGTCTCCATGGTTCATTCACTCCTTAGCATCTGCTGAAAGTGCCAACATGAGTACTAATTATACTGTTTTTGGTCATGTGATCTCACCTGTCCACTAGGAAGATGTCATTTTACATAGGCCAAACAAACACGCAGATGGTAACTTTAATTCACTACCAACTTGGCCCTACATTCAAACTAGTGAACTAAAGACCCCTGCTTCTAAACAAAGAATAGCTTGGCATCAACTCTTGGAGGGCAGGGGCTGAGTCAATACAATTACAGTACAAGTTATACTATTACATACATTAGGCCTCTTGTGTCGCCAGTTATTACTTCAATACTAGAGTAGCTGTTCTCATCTCATTCAAGAATGCAGCTGAGACAACAGTAGGGGTCTTTTGTGAAGTCCTAAAACTAGTTTCTAAAAAAGTTTTAATTTAAACACAGTCCTAATCGTGATTTAAAGGTAAGCAATGCTGATGGTAGAGTTAGATTGTTTGCATGTATAGGAAAGTGAGGAGGAGAGCTGGGAAAACAAAAGGTTAGAAGGACAAAACGTTAGAAAACTTGAGCCAACATTATTTGGTATTTATGGAGGGGAGTTCCCAATCAGTCAGTTTTGCATTACATCTTCTTTTCCCTTTTAATAAATCTAACACTTCAAATCAATCACCTTATTTTATGCTATTCCACAATTATTGTATGTCACACAATTAATAAAATAGCATAACATGGTTTATTAAAGAACTTACTCTACACAAAGTCTGTCACCTTCAACATGCACATACTGCTTTTTAGAAATGTACTAGACAGGACATGTATACTCAAATTCTCTCTAGTGCATTTTATGGGGTTCAGTTGAAAATTCTGAAACTAATTAATCCTGGAGCTAAAGGGTTCTTCAGCGTGATGAGATACAAAGGTTCCCTCTTTGCACAATCATGCCACTTGCCTCTTTGCAAAAAGCCAAAAACAGAAGATGGCTGTAACGACCACCAGGAGAAGGAGCAGAGGGATGCTGGGAATTAAGATGTAGACAAGACTCAAAACAGGTTCTGGGGGAGAAAAATATGAAATTCCAACTGTTATCCATTTTAAAATTTATTTTGCATGCACAAATTATTCCTGTGAAAGGTAGTACTGCCAAATAATAATAATAATAAAAGGTTTCCTTCAGTCCTATTTGTAATGTATTAGCAGCTACCCCACTCTCAATGCCAACACGTCAAGTACAGAATAATCCTCTAGCCTAGCTCAGCAGATCAGACCAAACTGTGTTCTTGAGTCTCCTAGTTTGGGGCTCTATATATAGTAACCCTAATTTTCCCATCCTCCATGGATGGTGGAATATAGGAATTCCCTGACTGGATCAAACTAGTGGATACTGGACTAGAAGGACCAATCTCCAATCATGGCCAGTATAATAAATCCCTCAGGACAAGGATGTGGGATAATCTGCATTTCAGTAGGATCTGTCTGACAAAATATAAGAAATGGCAGGATCTAAACAAAAAAATGTAACTTTCCTAACGTTTATTTGACATTTTCTCAATCTATTCATGTGAAAGTAATAATGGAAAAAGCTAATGAGATGTGTTGTCTTTTGAAAGTCTTATAAACAACCATCATAAGGATTTTAAGTGGGAATTATTTAATGACTGAGTGGTACATTTCTTCCTCCCTATCTTCATTAGATTTCTTTCCTCACACAGATAAAGGCATGGGGACTATGCAAGTCCCTTTATCTATACAAGGAAAAAAGTCAGTGTGGTAACACCAAGTTAATGTCTTTGACATTTCAAATGTGCATCACTGAAATGCAAGACCATTAATTCGAGGTAGTGTTTTCACATCTGATCATTTGATAGCCAAAACAACCAATTTAGTTTTGTAATTGTAAAGATTCAAAGCAAAACTATCCAACATGAGTACCTACATTTAGGCTTCTAAATTCATAGACAGTCACAGAGAACAAGATTTGTCTACACAGCAAGAGCTGTGCCTACCCGAGCAGGCTTGAATGCAGCTATTGCAAGTAACAATAGCAGTGAAGACAGCACAGCATGGGCTTCAGAGCCAAGTACGTACCCAGGGTCCATGAGGGGCTTGTATGACCTCCGCTGAAGCTCACTCAGTGCTGTCTGCACTGCTACTGTTACCCACGCTAGCTGGATTCAAGCTAGCTCAAGCCGGCTGGTTTGTGCATGCTTTTGCTGTGTACGCATACCATGAGAGGCTCAATATTCAGAGGTGCTGAGCAACTGCAACCATACTGAGGCCAGTGGAAGCAGCAGGTCTGCATAGCGGCAGAGGGTAATGGCTAGCTGTTGTATGTGCTCTGTACCTTTGGGTTCTTTAAGGGTTTCATTGGCATCTTCCTTAATGCGTTCTTCTGGGAACGTTGGCTTCCAGGACCCTGTGACAACATCTGGGGGGGAAAAAGTGACTGGTTAATATTGAAGATACGGGTTAAACATTGAATGAACTCCAGAGAGTAATTAAAAACGAGACAAAAATAAGGGATTTAGGACACTGCCAGATACACAGTGTGTTTTGATCTCATTCTCTTTTGCTCAGAGCTCCATAACATAGCGGTGGACTCCAGATTGGGCAGCAACACCACGTCAGACCTGGTTGCTGGACCTTGGGTTTGAGATAAACAGAAGGGAATGCTAACTGAGGGGCAACTTCTTTGGTCAATTTTAATTACTTCAGGTAAATGTAAAGATCCTCTAGGAATATTTTTACCAAAAATTACCATATCAGCAAATCAAACACTTGTCTGTAACTCACCCACTTGGGAGTTCTCTTCTGGGGCAGCAGTTGGTTTTTCTAAAAGAAAGAAGCACATACTAAATTTCCTTATGCATTTGACCATGTCAAATAAATATAGTGAGAGAAGCTGGCATTTGCCCTCACAACAGCATCCTCCCTCTCCCCTTTAGGTCCCATTTCAGATTCTGAACTTTTTTAAAAGACTTTTTAAAAAGGAGAGCTTCCAAGCCAGTCGGTTCATACATTTTGCAAAGTACCTAGCCAGGGACATTCAGTACAGCAGCCCAGATCCTCAAAGGTATTAGGTTCCTAACTTCCATTGTGTTCAGTGGAAATTAGGAGCCTAAATACCCTTTGAGGATCTGGGAAGTGTCCCATCTGTCCACAGGACTTTTATCCATTTAAATGCATGTCTGCCTTCTACCAATTGTTTCCCAGCACAGGTGATACATGGTTTGCCTCTAACTAGACAGACGTGTGACACCTGACTAGTAATACACCCCCCTGTGGATTAGAGTACAATCATTTTTACATGATACAGAGTAACTCATTACCGAGAGAATATTTGCAAATGAAGTTATTTTTCATGTTGCATCTGTCATCATTCCACTGAAACATATAGGAACCTCCGACACCTGCCGGGGCAGAGGGCTGGTGGTACATCACAACGCAGATCTCACTCCCGCAGGAAGGCTCATCTGTATACCAATTCCTAGAAAAATAAACCAACCACCACATCAGGCGATGCATTTCCCCTGATATTGCAGAAGCTCAGACTTGGAATATAGCACAGGATTCCAAACATCAGTGACAACAGAACTAATGCTGAACACGATTCAACTTGTATCCTCTCATCAGCTAGATGCACACGGTGCTCCCACTAATTCAGTTATCAGTAGTTTATTTTCACATTTTTGTTTTTTCCGATTTTCACAAGATGGGGGTCTCATGGAGAAACTCTTGACAATAAATGTAAATAGTAAAAAAAAAAAAGTGGTCTGAATCCCATTTACAGAAAAATGAAAAGAAGTTTGATCTCAACCTAGTTTCTAAGTCTTTTGTGCACATTACAAACAGTATTTCCTATTCGGAAGACTCACAGGACTGGAAGATAAGAGATTCCATATTGGGGCTGTCAAAGGACCTTACGGAAGTTAGGTACCCAATTCCCATTGGATTTAAATGAGGGTTGACCACCTCACCCCCTTCATCTCCTTTGAGGTGAACTCTGACTTACTTTACTTATTTTCAGGTTGAAAATGACTGACGTTCACTGGTCTCAAACTCCATTGCCTGCAACCATTTATCCATTTTATAAGATAATGAAAAATGTTTAAGGGAAATCTGCTTTGCTCTAGGCAGAAGTGTACTAAAATGAAAGGAGCTGCCTTACAGGTGATGTTTTTTCCAGTAAGAGCAAAACATTACCACTGGAAAATGCACGGACCTTTCTAAGAAGAATACAGGAAATATTTCCTTACTATTTAACACTCTGTCATATATCAATTATAAATAATTCTAGCTATACCAGAATATTTCAAAAGGGAAACTATCAGATAAATGTCCAACCAATCTTGTAATCATTACAAGATTTTCTTTTTACATACATTTATACTGCATGCGATTTTGCTCTTTGGATTGTGAGTCTCTTTACAAAGAAAAAGCTCAGATCCAATAAAAATGGTAAATTTACGTGGGATGTATTTTTTTCCTCTTTTAAAATAGTATTACTCATTAGCATCTTTGGCCAGATCCTTTGGTACAAATTGGCATGGCTCCCTCAATGGAAGTCAACTGAGCTATGCCCATTTGTAACAGCAGGGAATCTGGCCCTATACCTCCATTACCAACTTTCCCAGTATTTGGACCACAGGGGAAAATATGACGCTATTGCACTTAAGTGTCCTAGCAAACAGCACTAAAAGCAGATGCATCTCATCCAGCCTTACTTATGGCTGAGCATCTTATTAGTGTTCCACAACCCTAACTGTCCTTAAAACATAAAGAGAGAACCATTTCTTGGAGATTTGTTATAGGCTGTTATCTAAGCTACCTATCTGATAGAGTCCCAAAGAGTGTGATCTCAAATCCTGATTTGCTTTCCCTTCCCTAAGTGATGAGGATGCATGCCAAACTGAGAAAAGCTGAGAGATTCAGAAGTGAGGTTCAGACTTCACTTTTAAATTGTGCCATTGAGACGTGGGGGGAGCAAAAGCTCAAGCAATGGGGCAGAGGTGACCAGCTTGTCTTGGATAATTCCAGAGGAAGGAAATGTCATATTAAGCAAGTTTTCCATGATGCCAGAAGACACTTTCCGATTTCATGAGCAACTAATATTTTTCCCAGCACATCCGTAACAGGTTGTGTGTAACTCAGTGTAGAATAAGTAAGCACATCAGATAACCTACTCCTCAAAGCATTTAATAGACTACATTTCAAAGTGCGTTTTCCTGATGCTACGTGGTGATACATATTTTTCTTTTTGGGGTCTAAATTCAGATCAGAAGATGGCAGAGAATTTGCCCTTTTAGTAGCTCCTCCCAAACACTGCCCAGACCTTATGACCTATATGTTGTCTCTTGACCAGTAGTTCCTCACAAGTGTTCGCATGTAATGGTTGATTTTCCTGTTATCTGGTTTCAATGTTACCTAAACTGTGAGTATCTTTCTCCATTATTCACCTCACTTCTTCCATCTCAAAGGAGTTATACAATGCACTCCTCTCTGCTTGCTGGAAAAGATCAACATCTGCTTTTCCTCCACTCTGTAAACAAACTCATCATAAGAAGTAGGGAAGGAAGAGCAATACCTTTTTCTTACTGTGGCTTCCAAAGCATAGCTCTTACAGAAACAGATTATTTCAGTGCATAACTCCTAGTAAGAAGAGCTCAAATTAAGACATTGCCATATATATTTAAGTGTTGTCAAAGTATTTAATTACACTTGGGCTACTGAATGAAATAGATGGGTTCAATCACAGTAAATGCTGCAAAATGTGCAGGATAATTAATGAATTGCATCCATGCTTTGATTTTTCTTTAATAACTTTAATTAAAGATTCAATAGGAACTGCAACCTTGGCAAAATTAGAACCAGCAAATTCACTGCAATGTTGGCATGTTGTTGCAAAGACTATCATTAATCTGGCAACATTTGGAGTATATGTTACTCTATTTCTACCTCAGGCAAATACGAACTTTGTAAGGATGAGTTTTCATTTAAGATTTGCTGTTCACCTAGAAAACTGTGACTTAAGATCAGAATCAAAAGAGGACTAAGCAAGACTTGAGGCTACACACATTTTTGGTTCAAACATATTTGGAAGATGTTAATGTATCAAAACCATCTCCTGCAAAACTCATACCCCCTTGGAAGTCTCCTCTCCACAATCTTATAAGGGAATAATTACAGTGAGCATTATGGTTCCACTTGCCATGAGACAAGAGATCTATCAGGTAGGGCAAAGATAAACTCAATGCAATTCTCAAGCTCCATCCTCCCTCAAAAGGATAAGAGTTATTCCTGCTGCAGTCAACGAGAGTAAGTCCTATCACTGAGGAGGAAAAAAGGAGTCCTGAAGTTTAGGGAATTTCATTTCAAAACATCAGTTTACCCTGTATTGTATACATTTTAGCAGGGGTGGCTCCAGGCACCCGCGCAGCAAGCGGGTGCCTGGGGCGGCAAGCCGCGGGGGGTGGCCTGCCAGTCCCTGTGAGGGCGGCAGTCAGTCTGCCTTCGGCAGTGTGCCTGTGGGAGGTCCGCCGGTCCCGCAGATTTGGCGGCAATTCGGTGGCGGGTATGCCGAAGCTGCGGGGCCGGCGGACCTCCCGCAGGCATGCCGCCGAATCGGCGTGACCAGCGGACCGCCCGCAGGCGTGCCACCAAAAGCCGCCTGACTGCTGTGCTTGGGGCAGCAAAACACATAGAGCCGCCCCTGCATTTTAGCCAGGACTTTAAAACTATAGATTTCTAACATTTTTATCTTCAGGTACCTACCGAAATTTGGATGTACTGCCATCAGACCATGAATACAGGCCCTGACATTCTGTGCTATTGTCCACGTCTTCCTCTTTTCTCCTAAGTCCTATCCAAAAATCTCCATCTGAAGCCAAGAGACTCTCAATCAATTTTTCAATCAGTCTCTGTTCTGATCCTGATTCAATACTGACTAAATGCCCACCATCTCTTCTGCATGTCTGGTGCGCTTCTTCAAAGTTGATCCTGCGCAAAGCATCATGAAAGTAAATGATTTTGTAGCACGGTCGCTGAGTTCCACCCCGGCAAACTGTCTGCCCTACAGAAATAGAAATAAGCCAATTACAGAGACTGCATTCATTAGCTGCTGATGATTAGTACAAAGAGTAAGCAAATAGGGTTAATACTTGTTGAATTTTGCATTGTGTGGCAGTTTATATAAACAACTCCAAATAGGCAAAAGAAATAAATACTAATTTTTATATGACTGAGGAATTATTGAGCACTGTCTACCTTTTCTTGTTTCATACACTAGTTCAGACTGACCTCTGCAGCACTGTTTTCTCAGTTCCTGGGATCCACAGCCCCACCAAGAGTTCTCTGCAATGAAGAAACCTCAGCAATTCCTTGCAGAGGGGGAGAAGATTCCCACACTAGAATGTTGTGCCAGAGAACCAACGGATATGTCCAACATTGTAAGAGAGAGAGATGCTGCACTAGGATTCAACCATGCTCTTTTGTAATAATTTAACTGGCTAGAAACTCACTCAGATCCCGAGATGTGCTTACAGGTCCAGAAATAAAAATTATTTACCACTTGGGAGGTGCATAATAGCTTCATGGAACTCACTGCAGTTAATCAGGATATGCTTTCCAGAGCATAATGTTCCAGACTTCTAAAGAAGTAAACAATGACTGTTTGCAGTCATGAGCCAAGCTCTCTCATATGCATGTAACAGCCTGGCTTATTTTGAGCATAAAACAAAGAAAGTGAACATCAAAGAGAATAGAGACACTTACTAGTAAAAAATATGGATTGGAATGCTTTATAACCAAACATTCCCAATATTTAAATTGTTGAAACAAATAGCTTTGAAAATAAATATTTATCATGTAAGAATATGCAACATACATTTAGTTCAGCAACTTGTGAATCTACAGTAGAAAAACAACAGTTAACAGATATTATGTAGTCATAAATAAGTATGATTTAAGGACAGAATGTTACAAACTTCTGCATTGTAAATCAATGCTCCTAAAAAAAAGTGTGGTGGTGTACGCTTGTCCTTTTGTGTTTCTACACCTTTTTCCAAGGCCACTGGTGCAACAGGAATTTAAATCTATTCTGTTTTGGAGATTTAAATCCACTCACTTGCATATTTGGAATTACAGTGACTGCTAAAATTTGTCAAAGAAATTAAAACAAGGGATGCAGTAAAAGCATCATTTAAAATGTGTCTTTAGGTAAACCCTGTATTTTCCATTAATAGTTTTACAGACAGGCAGCGCTGGTGAAAAAGAAGCGATACTCTACCGGCCCTGAGGACCAGGTCCGCTGCTGTGGAGAATGGTAAAAGCAAAACGGAGCTGCAGAGAGAGAGCTTCAGTTATGAACTACAAGGTTCCTTTTTGATATGCCAAGCAAGTATTTTCACAAACCGGCAGAACATCTGTGTCTTATCAACCAAACTTGCCTTTTCTTTTAGCGAAGGAAAAATTTAATGTAGTTCACTTTCCAGGCGCCACTGCAAGTTAACTGTCCAAATAGTGATATCACCGTAGGGTATGTTATTGATTAGGCAACAGAGAACAATTGTATGCACAGTTCTAGCCAATGTAGCATGAGACTCTGTTTTCCTGTTTTCCCCCCCCAAAACTTATTCACGAAGGTGATAAAAATTCCCCACCTTTTCACAACAAAGCCTACTGACTTCAATAGGCACAGGGCCAAAGCGTGCAGGTCATGGGGCTGCCACTAGTCCAGTCTCCACGCCAGCCGCTGTGTTCTGTCCCCATTTCCAGGCCAGCATATGGGAGGAGATCAGACAGCTCTCAACTTCGGTACACTGAGCTCACTGCACATATCAGGGATTCTTGCAGCATCCCTTCCTTTCCCCTCACAAGCTCCCTGTGTGTCATTCTATACCCATCCATTGTGGGGTTTCTTGCACTTTTCTCTAAAACATCAGCTCTGATCTAGTATGGCAATTCCTGTACTCACATGTAATGCAATATAGAAACGTATCAATAAAGACCAAAAGTTTACTAGGCCCCATCCCAAGATGATATGCTATTTTTATTGCTTACACATTCTGGAAAGTCTGAAAATTATCCAGCTTCCTGTCATAGAATCATAGGACTGGAAGGGACCTCGAGAGGTCATCTAGTCCAGTCCCCTGCACTCATAGCAGGACTATGTATTATGTTCTATCCCAAAAAGGGATTTTGCAAGACAGAAATGAGAAAATCCACAGTCTTTTGAAAATTCATCTGGGGACGACAAATATAACTGGGGAGAGTCGGTCTGCTGCATTTAAAATCCTCCGGGGACGGGGGAGCAGCAAGATACCCAGGAGACTGGAAGAGGGAATACTCTAATAACTGAGGAGAATCACTATGTGGAACAGTGTCCAGGGGTAGGAATCACTGTCTGTCCCAGGCTGGCTGTACCTCTGCAGCAGAGAACCTTGCAGGGACCACACCATGCTCTGGATGTTTGTTGCAAAGTAGCCACAGGCATTTCCCTTCCCACTTGGCTTAAAGGAGGAAAATCGCTGGCTCTACACTCTCCCACCCCAGCCCTGCCACTGTTGCAGCAGCGTGGGCACAGAGCCCTGGACCGCTCGGCCCCAGACCTGCAGGGCGATGGGCAACGTTTGGGCTCTCAGCCCCTGCACCCACTGGGAAGCGAGTCCGGGCCACGCTCAGCGCCCTAGCCTCGGAACAGGCTAACTTTCCTTGGAAAAATCCCCAGTACTGGGGGTCCCTGCGCCCCCGCACCTCTCCTCTGGGGCTCCCTGCTCCCGCCTCGCCCGTATCCCGGGGCTCCCTGCGCCCCCTCCCCTGGGGCTCCCTGCACCCCTCTGTATCCCTCCCCTGGGGCTCCCCACTCACCCTCTCCCGGGGCTCCCCACTCCTGCCTCGCCACCCCTCGGGGCTCACTGCTCTCCTCTCGCTCGTATCCCGGGGCTCCCTGCGCCCCCTGTATCCCTCCCCTGGGGTCCCCGCTCCCCCCTCGCCCGTATCCTGAGGCTCCCCGCTCCCCCGCGGCTCCTTGGCCGCCCCCCGGGGCTCTCTGTTTCCCCCTCGCCCGCCCCCCGGCCCCACTCACCGCTCAGCAGCCGGGACGCTCCCACGCAGCCCAGCACCGCGGCGCACATGGTCGCGGCCACCAGCGCCTGCCCCAGTCCCATGGCCGCGGGCGCCGCGCTCCCGGAGCCGCATCTCCCGCCTGAGCCGAGCGGTCGCTCCGGGACCGGGCTGGGCTAGAGGGAGGG